ATGAAAAACTTTTATCTAAATAGTACAGATATCTGACTATAAAGAACCAAATTAAATTTACCAGAGAAATATAAAATACTTTTAAAAAGCTGTTTTTATAAAATTAATCCTTGGCTTTTACTTCCGTGTTTAACTCCTATACGTGGGGTATCTATTCTTATCTAAATTTTATATTTTCACCTTGATAGATTGGCTCAAAGCAGGAAAACATGCTGGAAAACAAATGAAAAGCATATAATATTATAACTTCTAAAGTTCAAAATACCTAATAGAAAATAGTTATCTTGAAGGACCAGGAGATATGTATGTCAGACAATTAGTGCTCAATTGTATTCACCATGTCTAGTCTTTTAGAAATACAGCATCTCAGTCCTGGAAAAAACAACTAAAAACTGTTCAAGTACATTATCATCATTCACATATTTATATATTAACTCAGTCATTCCAATAACCCTGTAAAGTATTGATTTTCCCATACAAATGAGACAAAAATTCATCAACTTTTAATGAATTACACAGAGAGAACTAAGAGGCAATGCCACTGCCAGGCACTATAACTAGGAGCCAGGAGTACATAAAAATATAAAAGTAAAAAATATATAAATTCTTTATATAAAATATGGTGGCTGCAGTTTAGAAGCAAAATGAAAAGGCTTCTGCTTCAGCAAATGTATTTTTGTTCTGGCAATAAATATTTACTGGGCATCTTGCCTTCATGTCTATGATGCATTCAGATTTGTAATCCTCTGAAAGGTACATATTATCAGGTTATATCTAGTCTAACATCATCTAGAACCTTGCCAGTGATAAGCTGATTTGGAGAATTATTCTTTTAGTTATATGGATGTTAAGCAGTCTTTATCTAGATTTTAGATTTGTAAACTTATTTATTAACTATTTTTAGAGGTAACCCCCTAACACACCTCAATCAATGCCTTGTGAAACTAACAATTCATTCAAAACACATTTGAAAATTCCTACAATGGACCTTTCTCCTATAAAACCTTGTTTTATCATTCATTCCCTGATGCCAAGATGTTTTTTCTATCCATCTTCCAAACCATTTCTTCTCTCCTTTGATGGCAAAAAGCTGTTGAATCTCTAGCCCGTATTTAAATTTAAAACCTAGATCCATATATCTATCTGCCTATATGATACCTCCTTATTTGATGTAAAAAGAGACCACAAACTGAATACATACAAACCCTTATCTTACATCAAAAATCTACTTCTTTTTCTTAGTGATTTAACTTGGATAACGGTGCCACTATCAGCCCAAGTCAGAAATATGGCAGTCATCTTAGAGTCCTAGTCCTTCCTCTTCTTCACGTCCAGATGTATTCTAACTGCTAAATTTCTCCTCTCTATTCCCACTGCAATTAATGTTAGGCCCTCATTATTTCTCAAGCAATAGCTTTCCTCTCATTTATGACCTTTCAATCCCCTACACTACTAACAAAATTAAGGTTTCTAAAAGGCAAATCTAATCATATCATTCACTTGTTTAAAACCCTTGAAGGAGTCCCTACCTTATGGTAGGAATCCTGGGTTTAAAGAAGCTATCCAATAAAATACCCCAAATTCTGTACACTACCCATATCCATTTTCCTAAGGAAAGGGCTCAGAGGGTTAAGAACCATTGGCAGATAGAATAAACTCCACAAACTATCCTGGCAAGCCCTTTGCAATCTTTCAGAATCATCTCAAACCATATCCTCCCTCTCAGTCTATGTTCCAACTAACCCCAAATAAAGGTTGTTTCCCCCAAAATGTATACACATATTTTATAAAGGCAGTGTTTACTAAAATACATTTTCTCTTCAAAATTGAGCTATCAGCTGTTAAAGTATATATACATTTTGGGGGGACACTCTGCTTTAAGTTCTCAAATAGACTATGCTGCTTCAACTTTTCACACCACTGAACATAAGGTTCCCTTCGCCGGGAAAGTCACTCCCCTGTGAACAAGTACTCATCCTTCAAGTGTTATTTCATCTATGAAATTCTCCCTGTTTCCTCTAAGCAACTGATTTGTCTTTCCTCTCACTTACTGCATCTTGCCTATACCTATACCTTTATTATAGTATATGTTTGCTTTGTTTTTAAATTCTCACTGTAGGGTATGTTTTTATTGATTTTCATGTCTTTCTTAATAGTTCATGAGGAAAAGACCGTATTTTATTCATGTTTGTGTACTAGTGCTTAGCACAACACCTATCCTATATAATAAAAGGCTAATATGCAAATTGACCAAACGGTGGAACGACCGGTCACTATGACATGCACTGACCACCAGGGGACAGACACTCAATGCAGGAGCTTCCCCCTGGTGTTCAGTGCGCTCCCACAGGGGGAGCGTTGTTCAGCCAGAAGCCGGGTTCACAGCTGGCAAGCACAGCAGCGGTGGTGGGAGCCTCTCCTGCCTTCACAGCAGCCCCAAGGATGTCCAACTGCCAGCTTAGGCCTGCTCCCTGAGGGCTCCCGGGCTGCTAGAGGGCACAGGCTGGGCTGAGGAAGCCCCTGTCCCCCGCCAGTGCACCGGGCCTCTAGTATATAATATAAACTCAAATACTTGTTGAATAAACATTCACTACACCAGCGACCCCTTTGGGGGTTGAACGACCCTTTCACATGCAGGGGTCGCCTAAATACATCCTGCATATCAGATATTTACATTACGATTCATAACAGTAGCAAAATTACAGTTATGAAGTAGCAACGAAAATAATTTTATGGTTGGGGGTCACCACAACATGAGGAACTGTATTAAAGGGTCGCGGCATTAGGAAGGTTGAGAACCACTGCACTACACCATTAACAAGAAATAATCTTTTCATAAAAAGTTCTCCTATGTAGTAATAAGTTGTTCAAACTAACAACAGTATTTCCTTAAAAAGCTTTAAAAGGATAGTAAAAATATACTGGCTACAAACATTTATCAATTTACTACTGTTCTGAAATACTAAAAAAAAAAAAGTTAAGTACATCTTTTTAAAAAAAAGATAGACCAATAATATAAGCACAAAATACAAACAACTACCTCTTTGTGTAAGTAAAAATTTTAATTTAATTGTAATCCTTATAGAGATTAAATCTACTAGATATGACTTTTTCCAAAACCTTTCTATTTTATTAGCTTTTAGTTAAATGTGATTTTCCGCCTGCAAGTTAAATTTTTATATATTCAATTAATAATTTTCTTTCTATTTAAATCCTGACCGAGGTTTACAGGACCCTAAATGTCTTTGAAGCAGGTATTTGTGTGAAATCAGCACGGTTTCCGTTTTCAGAAAACACCCCATGAAACTGGGGGAAAGGGAGGGAACAGGGTGTAAGTAGGAAATCAAACTGAGTTCCCACCAGAGAATCCCAGTCTCTGTGTCACTTGAAAAACACCATCCTGGGTAGGCGACTTCACGCAGGAAATGTAAAGGCCTTCCTCCTCACCAGGGCAGCACTCACACACACGGTCAGAGGGAGCGGGGTACACTCTGCTCGCCGTACACACCACCCGCCTGCACACGCGGGGCCGCTGCCCGCCGTACACACCACCCGCCTGCACACGCGGGGCCGCTGCCCGCCGTACACACCACCCGCCTGCACACGCGGGGCCGCTGCCGCCGCCCACGGATATCCGCCTGATCGCGGGCACGGAGTGCGCACTAGGCCTGGCGGCCGAGGAAAACGCTGCGGGGCCGGGTGCGTCTGCCGCCGCCTCCGGGCGGGCTGATCACCGTCAAGGTCGGAGGATGCCGCCTCCTTCCGACGTTAATGACCGAGCGAGAACTCCGGGAAAGAGCCTGAACGCGGGCCGCGGGCGATGGCTCGGTGAATACTGACAATCTGACGCCAATACCCAAACACGTAGTTCTACGTGCAGCGTGCCGACCAGAGCTCTGTTGGTTTAAAATGGACTATACAACCCGCAGCACGTTCCTCCTGCTATCATTCCTCCGTCTATGTTTCCCGGAACCC